GTGTAAAAGAGTTGCAGTTAATTTGTTAATAAAGTTTGTTTGAAGCACGTGGTTTTCATTCTTGTTGCTTTATTTTTCATTGTATAATTTATTACAGGGTCTTGACTACGACACTGGCGTTGATTATATAAACCCATGTTAAAATGATGCAGCCACGTGTAGCAAGGAAAGTGATTTAATTTTAAGACACTTTGATATTCAAGTAATTGTTTTTAACACTCTGAAGCTCATGGGAATCATTACCAGTTTTTCAAGAAAAGAATATTTTTAATGGAAACGGTTTGTGTACAACGAACTTCACACACAAATTTCTAAGCCAGTAAATTCCATACCTAATTAAAATTATCGATTATTGTCGTGCAAAATACATGATTAATCAAAATTATGATTAAATCGATTACTGTCAGGAAAATAAGTGTTTCTGACTATTAATTACTGTTTTCAAGTAATTACCATTATTATTTCTCGTTATTATATTTTATTAATTCAGGTTTGTTCAGCTTCATTGATAACTCGTAAGGATAACAAACTAACTGAAATTACTATGCCTGAGTATTACTATTTTAAATTATTTCAAGTATTCTACTTTTGAGTGAGAAAAATTGATTAGTCAAATGTAATAGATTAATGAGCCTGATAATTTATTGCATATCAAATTCAACTAATTACCCAGTTTTTATGCGTAGATAGCACTGTGCAGGATAGAACAAATTTCACAACAACAAAAAAAAAAGCTCTCAAAACAAGTCACTCGTAAATGAATCAACATTAAACAATGCAGTTCTGTTAAAAAGCTATAGTAACACAAAATAGCAGCCAAATATTTAAGCAACTGTAAAAAATAAGAAAAAGCCTAAATCTGCAGACTTGGCAACCTTGGTGCTGGAGGTATAGTATTGTGTGTTTTTTGAAACTGATTTTAAGAGCATGTGGTTTAACAGTTTCAGATTGAGTGAATTAAAAACATGGAAGGAAGAATTAAATGATGTGGTGGTGCTGAATCTGTTTCGTGTTTATGTTATATGATACATAACTTAAAATAATGAATGAAATCAATTTGTTTTTGTTATATCTCCAAACAAAGTAATTGTTTATGTAACAAGCTATGTAATGTTTTTTCTTGTAAGAAGATTGTTATATGTTTTAAGAAACTTTAAATGATGAAACTTATTTTTCAAAATGTTACTGTAGTTCTTTTGGATTGTGTGTGGTTGTGTGCGTGTGTATATATATATATATATATATATGTGTATATGGGGTCCTGCATGGCCAGGTGGTTAGGGCACTCGACTCGCATTCTGAGGGTCACGGGCTCGAATCCCCGTCCCACCAGACATGCTCGCCCTTTCAGCCGTGAGGGCACTCTAATGTGACGGTCAATCCCACTATTCTTTGGTAAAAGAGTAGACCTAGAGTTGGCGGTGGGTGGTGATGACTAGCTGCCTTTCCTCTAGTCTTACACTGCTAAATTAGGGACGGCTAGCACAGATAGCCCTCGTGTAACTTTGCGCAAAATTCAAAACAAACAAACATATGTGTATATATATATGTTTCATTGTAACTTGAAATTTAAAAATTGATATGATAATTAATTTATTGAATGCCAATTTTTTACTTCAGGAGGGACGTCTTCTACCCGAATTCAACATGTTGGACCCACCAATGATATTTGAATGTAACAGAGCCTGTTTGTGCTGGAAAAACTGTAACAATCGACTACTGCAACACGGAATCACGTTAGTTACTTTGATCACTTGCTGATCGTTACGTCTTTATGTTTGATGGCTGCCAGTTGACAGTCTAAATCTCTCAAGTTTGATTTAGTTGTTGTTATTTTTAAATAATCTAATCTGTTTTGAATGGCTCAACTTATTTACAAGTCAGACTAGAGCACTAATAGTACACTTCAGAGAGTTTCTGTTTTAATTATTTCATCCTTATAAGTGAAAGTTATACTTACGAGTGTTAAGTTTGCTTTGATTGTCATCGTAATGACCCACACATCAACAATTAACGTTATTAGCTCTCTGTTCTTTTTCAGTTAAAATTTGATTTGAGCTGGTAACTTCTGTTAAGGAATTTTGTCCACTCATAAAAGGAGGCATTAAATAAAAGTGCATATAGAGTTTGACATTGTAATATTCTGTATATTTAATTATGGAAGAACAAGAAACACGACAACAGAAAACTACTAGAACTTGGCCATAAGTTATGTTTTATTATTTAGTGTTCTCTCCTGGTAAAATACCATATTTTTGTTGAATAAGAAATTTTTTATTTAGTAGAGAATTTTTGTATGATGAAATACTGATTGTTAAATATGGATCTTAGTATTAAATTTAACTCTCTGGCAGATGGCATGACCCAAACAACATGAAATTTGTTAGTTTTGTGTGTAAAATTAATTATTCCATTCCAAAATTTGGCAAGTTATTGTTAGTTTATTGCCTTAACTAGTAAAAAAAATAAATAAAATTGTTTTGTATAAATATTCGTTTTTTTTTTAGTTGCCGACTGCAGTTGTTCCGAACGAAAGGAAAAGGTTGGGGAGTGAGAACACTGAAAGAAATTCCTAAAGGAACTTTTATTTGCGAGTAAGCAAGTTGATTTTGAAATTACAATGTTTGGTTCATGATTAACCAATGATGGATAATTTAAGATTTTAGTTCTTTGTAATTTTTACATAAGATTTAATTATGGAGTTTCTGGTACAAGTTTGTGCCAGTTTTTAATAGAACATTTAAAAACTTCTGGTATTTTACTCAGGTATGTAGGAGAAATTATTTCTGATTCTGAAGCAGACAAGAGAGAAGATGACTCCTACCTCTTTGACTTAGACAACAGGGTACATTAATTTTTTTCATTTGTGTAAATTATTGAATGTATTTGTACTTATATGCGAAGGACTAGGATTGGCCTAAAATGGTTGTTTTTTTTTAACTTGTAAATGTCGGGCCTAAATTTTTAATTTTATTTCTTGTAATTTCTAATTTTGAAGAAAGAGAAAAGATGCTAATGAAAGATCAAATATTTGTATTTTTGGTCTCATCTGAGAAAATGTTTATTCTTGTATGATATGATAAGTAGTTGTTTTCTACAAAGTAAGAATTTCACGTAAAATAATTTTTATTCTGGTAGAAGTTAATGTATTTAAAACTTTTTTACTCTTTCAGATTCAGTTAGGAAATGTTTCTCCTTTTGGAATTAAAAATAATATATTTTTTGATATGTTTTTTTTGAAATAATCATTATGATAAAAACTGTTAATCTTAATAATTCAGTAGATTTTGTCCCCATTTGACTCGGTGTTAAATTAGACAGCTTGTGATGCATACTGTACAGCTTTGTGTTAAAACAATCGAATTGTAGGTTGTCAGAGAAGTCCCCCACCCCTCAGGAACATAACCCGTCCCCAAGTTTGTTCATCTTTCCACCATTGTTGGTAAAATGAAGCCAACAGATACTGGTTGGTAATGTAGACAGACAGTTCTTGGGTAGCTTTGAATGGAGTTCAACAAAACAAACAACAGTTATTTCTTGGGGGAAACACACTAGGAAGTTTTTGGTTTGCAAAAGAAATATCTTGATCTTGCTTGTGTAGATGTGATGTGCCCTGGTGACAGTTTTAAATTTTCCTGACTGAAATTTCGTTGGGTCTTCTCTTTAGGATGGAGAAACATTTTGTCTCGATGCTCGCTACTATGGAAATGTTAGTCGTTTTATCAATCACCTTTGTGAACCAAACTTGGTGCCTGTGAAGGTGTTTGTTGATCATCAAGATTTGAGCTTTCCTCGAATAGCCTTCTTCAGTTCTCGTGATATTCAACCCCAAGAGGAATTAGGGTAAGGCCTTGTTCTGTATTCTAATCTGAGATTAAAAAAGTGTAAACACTGGTATATAACAGCAGATACAGGCACGGTTATCACACCCACTTGTACAGTCTGTGTATGACCTGTCTTCTCCTTTTTGTTTATATGAATGTTTTGGAAACTTAGTTGACACAGTATGTGCCAGACATTTAACGAATTATTTTTGGATGGAAAATATTACTTTTAAACATGTTTTAACCATATTAAAAAACTGTATCTTTAGTTTCTCTTTCAATTTTTAATATATGGGCATTAATGTTTCTGAGCTGTACATTTATAGTTAAATGATAAGGTCAACTGTGAGTAAAAATTCACACTGTATTTGACATATTTTATTATGTATACAGTTGTTGTATAATAACAAAAAACTTGTCGTAACATTAAAATTATTTGCAGCTTTACCCTTTTAAAACAAAACTGAAACAAATTAAATTTTGAGTGTGTTTGATATTTATAAATCCAGAATTAATACTATTATTATTCCGTATTTTTAGTAAATTGTGAAATAAGATATTAAAAGTTGCCAATTGTCGAAATAAATGTATTTTACTTATATTTCTTAATAGCATAAATATTATATTATGATGTTGTTAGGCTTAGGATTCTTCTACAGTAGGTGTCTGTGACTTTTTAGCGATAAATTCAATGATAAATAAACAGTGTACACTTTACTTGTTTTCAAAATAATATATATATATTTGGAACAAGTTAAATGTATGTACAATAAAAGGTTCACACCATAGATAGTATGGTCATATTCTATATTCTCGTCATCAATTAAGTGTTAACAAACCTTCCTATAATCGTCTGCTTTTAATTCTTATTGTGACAAAAACTAAACATTAATAAAATATTCACTCACAAAAACAAACCAATCAATAACATCTAAATTAAACAGTTTTTTATATCATGACACAATCAATGTTACAGGAAAGAATATTTATACATTATTATATTCCAATTATTTCTGTAGTTCCTCGCAGCTACACCAGTGGGTGGTACTGACAACTTTTCAAGCTCAGCCTTTAAAGATAAAAAATAATTAAAGATGAATATCTATCTGTTTAAAGTAATGAATATAATCAGGTTCAAGAAAGATTTTGATGATTCAAAAGTGTTTTGTCTGTTACTTGTATTTCTTTAGTTTTGACTACGGAGAAAAGTTTTGGGTGATAAAGTACAAAAACTTCACATGTGGGTGTGGATCACCAAAATGCAGGTACTCCAAGGAGACTATACACACAACCCTAGAAAATTATTACCATAGATTAAAAGAGGAGCAAGGAGATGATTCAAGTCGAGTCATACAGCAAGAATGAGGTAGAGCTGTTGAAGAACAGTGGAGAAGCTCAGTTCAAGTGATAACATTCATTTTGTAATTAAACAGTGGCTACTTGTGTAGGCCTATTGAAGAATAAATTAAATCACAATTAGTGATGAAACATTAAAAGCTGTTTTAGTCTTACATTGTACAAGCTTAAAAAAAAATATTTTATAGACTTAAAGAAAAACAGACTTTCATTTAAAATTTCAACATTACAACAGTGATGTTTTGTAGTCTGCGAGATTGTTAAACCAAAATTAAGAAATTGCACATAGGATTTATTAATTGGGCCTAAATTAAATGAACCCGTGAAACGTTTATGTGGCTAAGTTTCCCGAACTTTAGCACTCTAAAACATAGCTCATGTAACATATAGGAAAAAATATTCTCAACCAAGTTCGGCCCTCTAATTTTCTTGGTTAAAAAGAATGTTCTTTAGAGATTGTATGTAGACTGTAATATGGCCACATATTGAGAGAGGATGGAATATTCTTAAATGATCCCCAACTTGCAGTTCTTTGATTTGCATTAAAAAAAAAAAACACATTGGCTACACCACTATTGTGATTAAAGTATGTTTCTTTTTTTAAATTTTCTGTTGTAAATTATTCCGACATTAAACTGATACGACATGCTGTAAGAATTGTCTAATAATGTTTCATCTATCTCATATGGTTCCATCTTTTCAACTTATATACTTGTGAAAGTTAATAACTTTTATAAACTTATCTTCTTGTGTGTTTTGTAAGTCATTGTATATGTGTATGAGATTTGTACAGAATCTTTAGGTTGTTTAGTATTCATTAGCTTATTAAAGATTAAAACAAACAACTTGTTTTAATGTCTAATTAACTGAAACTTGATCAATTTTGTAAGGTTCCACTACGTACGTGTGATGAACGTATAGCACTTTCTGATACAACTACAGAATACTGAAATTTTCTAAATCATGTAAAGTCATTTTTGTAAGAATCGTAGGTAGCCGTAGAACTACCACAACACAGCAGTTCAAACATTATAAACCGATCATTTGCCGATAGCTAATATTTCTGTGTTGTTCATTTTTGGTTGTCACCTATAGCATGAATCTTGAAATTTACAGTTCCCTAATCTTCAGCGACTGGTCCAGTATTCCTAAGAACACAGTCTTATATTTGATTTTCTTAAAACAGAACTTTATTGGTTGAAAGAAACATGTGACTAGTCTTTAAAGTCACATTTATGTTGTAACTTTTTTTTTTTACTATTATTTGTTTCAGATAGTTTTCATCTCATGTAATGTGTGTGTTGCGATAAATATGCTTACTGGTTTTACTGTGTCATAAGTTTTCAGGTAAAGACATTTTAATTGTCTAACGACTTGTTAAAGATTTTTTTTGAGGAACGTAAACTGGTGATGGGCAAGAGTGTGTTAATGCTTTCCTACAAATCTAGAAGGGACATCGTTCAAAAGTACTGACCAGTAACAACTTCGGCAAATTTTGTGGACTTGAATACTTTACAGCTAGTCTTACCCATGTTTAATGACTAACGGCTGATAATATCTCTAAAACAAACTTTGCCATTTTACATGTTTGCTTTCAGGGGAGAGGTGGTCACTAAAAACTTGTGTCTTTTGCTTTTGTGAAAATGGTGAAAATCGTGATTGAACAACTGTTTGAAATATAAATAAAGAAGTATCCATCATGGAAATTAACAAAAATAGCATTTTTTAACAAGTTTACGTACAAGACTGTCCATGAAATTTTGTGAATCGACAAGCACTTGTTATTTTGAATGTTTTATTACGTTGTGCTGCAAATGTAGCAAAAGGTTTTAAGATGTGATTATGAATTACTTGACTTTGTGTTAGGTTTTAGATTAGTAATCTCTTTTAATTGTAAATATCTCTCTTCATGAGAGCTTATTTCATTAACATACAATATTAGGCTTACCTATTAATAAGAAACCTTGCATTTCTAAATACAAAATTCAGGTTATTTCTTTTTACCAATTGAAGCCCCCCTCCCAGATCTTCAAAAGAAATAATTGAGATTTCAATTTCTACGAAACTGAACTATGGATTCTGAGAGGAAAATGTAAATATGAAAAAAACTAAACTTGTGTGGGGCACGAGTATTTCCTAAACTACAATGTTTTTCCTTGATTTTTTTCTGTTTTCTTGAAGAAGTATGGTAGAGTGACTTTAGATATGTTGAATTTTTGATCAGTTAAAACATTTATGTAACAACTATGAATTCACAATTAATTAAAATGAGAAACCCTGAAAATGTTACTTAACTTTCAAAGAAGTAACACTTAACTAAATACAGAAAATATGAATTGTAACCTAATTAATGTCGAAAGTACGTATTTGTGCAAAAAGAGAAAGAAATGGCTTTTATTGTGCATATTATTGATATATTTTCAATGAGAAGTAAGGCTTGAGAAATGTATTATGAAACATTGAAAATGTTGATTTTGTTGTGCACAGTCTGACATTCTGTTTGTGTATTTCTTAATTCAAACTAGCAGAAATGTTAAGTTGCTCATATATTCTTTTTGCAATAAAGAATTAAAAGTTTTTCAGCCATATTTGTTTTTTCTAGTTTATAAAAGACCACCCCCTATTACCAACAGCTCTAAACTGATGCTAATTGACAACCCACAAAACAGCATTCTGCATGAATGTACAAGAGGCTGACAGGAGAGCAAGGTTTTATGTGCTGAAAGGACATGTAGTACTTATAACCTGTATTAAGTTTTGCAGTTGTATTCTCTATGTGTATAATAAAATACTGGTATTAGAAGTGGGCTAACTTTAGTTGAGGGGAATGTTGTATTCCTTATGGATAGAGGCATTTAATGTGTTATTTCAAAAATATATAACAATAACTACAGGTACCTATGTATTAATTGTTTTGTTTTTCACTCAGAAGAAATTGATTGTATTGTAGTTGGATTTGCATTAATTGATACTTTTCTAAGAAAAGCACATTTTATAAGGATTGTATTGAAGCCTAAATTGTATAGAAAACAGACTGTCTGTCTGATTTCAGGTTGTTTAGTTATTTGAGCTCTTTTTTTTTTAAACCAATTGAGATTGGTTTTTATTTTAATAATTTTCATGGATGCTGAGTGTTATGCATTAGGGTTGTTCTTTGTTTTAAAATATGATGTAAAGATTGATTAATACAAGTAACTTATTAAGCCTTTTAATCAGAATTAACTCTTCTTATAAATGATATATTTTTAATTAGTTGACTTTTAAGGAACACAGGTTAGGGTGCAAAACCTTTTCACTTGCCACAAGGATTTTTGTAATGTATGTGTTTCATCATCAGTATTCCATAATGTACTTGTTTCAACATCAGTGTTCCATAATGTACTTGTTTCATCATCAGTGTTCCATAATGTACTTGTTTCATCATCAGTGTTCCATAATGTACTTGTTTCATCATCAGTGTTCCATAATATACTTGTTTCATCATCAGTATTCCATAATGTACTTGTTTCATCATCAGTATTCCATAATGTACTTGTTTCATCATCAGTGTTCCATAATGTACTTGTTTCATCATCAGTTTTCCATAATGTAATTGTTCCATCATCAGTTTTCCATAATGTACTTGTTTCATCACCAGTATTCCATAATGTACTTGTTTCATCATAAGTATTCCATAATGTACTTGTTCCATCATCAGTTTTCCATAATGTACTTGTTTCATCATCAGTATTCCATAATGTACTTGTTTCATCATCAGTTTTCCATAATGTACTTGTTTCATCATTAGTGTTCCATAATGTACTTGTTTCATCACCAGTATTCCATAATGTACTTGTTTCATCATCAGTTTTCCATAATGTACTTGTTTCATCATCAGTATTCCATAATGTACTTGTTTCATCATCAGTATTCCATAATGTACTTGTTTCATCATCAGTATTCCATAATATACTTGTTTCATCACCAGTATTCCATAATGTACTTGTTTCATCATCAGTATTTACTGATGATGAAACAAGTACATTATGGATTATTTGAGATTGTGATGGTCATTGTCACTGTTCGTTTATAAAAAGAATATCCTAAAGTTGGCGGTGGGTGCTCCTGGGTTGTTGTCTTCTTTCTGGCCAGCAGGTTAAAATTAGGGACGTTAGTGACTTGGCCATAAACCAGAAACGTTCCGTAATGGAGTCTTCACCAGGTTGTAAAAGAAGGTTTCTGCATACTAGGTATCCAGTAATAAATATTCCAACGTAAAAAAAAAAAACTTAATTTTTTTTTCCTTCAGACTATACCTAAGGAGTAAGCGTGACAGTACTGGTTTGCTGTTCATACACCTGTCATTTTCAATGCGTGTAAATAAGTCTAGTATAAAGTTTTTCAGTCCATTATATACTGTAACCATATTGCAAGCCAAAACTAGCGTTGGAAAGTATTTTTACGTATCTGCTTGTTTGATAATTTCCCGTAAAAATTATTTCCGAGAAACTTCAGAGATATAAGTCTTTTCTTGATTAAGCCAGTTTATTCTTTCTCAATACAACTTTGCAATACAATTAATTTTCATAGTCACTTTAACTTAAACACACGCTATAATTCACAACGATTCACGCACTTCATTTACGACTTGACTCGATTATTTGTCTCTATATCTTCCTGTCTGCAATTCTATATGCCGTCACTTCTCTTCTCCGCTTTATTTGCTGGCTTATATAGTAAAATAGAGGGCGTCTAGAAAATACTGGGATATTCGTGAGGTTCCCCGATCCTTCCAGAAACTCATGACGTGTTACCAGCGTCACGTGACTTCCACTGTCATAACAGTATTAAATCTTGTGCTCTGTGTGGTGGATATGAAACGTTTGTGAATAATTCTGTTAAGGTGGATAAAAACGCCAAGGTATGTCTGGAATAAAACTGAACAATTTTATTTTGGGGTGGTGGACAGTTCAAGTTTATTTGTTAAAGCGCAAAGAACTATCAGCACTGTGCTCACTACAGGGATTGAACCCCGAATATTAGCAATATAAGCTATTGACCATTCAGGGAATACTTACAAACGTACGTAGTTGATGGATGCAACGGTAGGCGCAGAAAAGGACAATTCTGCGAGCACGTGCCAAGACTCGTGATATACAACTTGCGAGTATTCAATGTATATGGATGAACGTGTGCTTGTTGAAAAGTGAGTGAGTACACGACGAAACAGTGCGAAGAAATTAGACAAAACACATGATTTATCGTATTAACAGCGTTACTGTTGTCTGATATTTTCTTACGAGTCACATGAAAAATCGTCCATCTTTGTAGTTTTTTGACACCCAACCGTACAAGTGACAGGAAATGCGTTAAACACGTTTATACATTTTAATACTGAATTCGTACCCCTTCTTCTGTTATATATAATCGAGACAAAAAATCTGTAAAGAATGTAATACATTGTTCTGCTGGTGTAGATTGAATCGGACACTTTACTATTTCTCAACTTATCGGAATAGTTGAAAATAAAATGTCAATCTGCGGGTAGGTTTAAATTACATCAGTATGCAAAGCGTTCACGAAGAAATAAAAAGCATATTACTTTTTTGCTGACGGAATGTGGACGTCATCTTATGGTTAGTGTCTAGCCTGTGAATCCGAAGAATTCGTGGCTCGCAGCCGTTTTTTTCTTTTTTTTCAAAAACTTAGAATTTTGAGGCAGTGGGTGCACTATAAGAGTGGCAGTCAGATCCCACTATTTGCGTATTTTTGGCCAACTTTCTTCACTTGATATTTGGAAATGTAGCTTAAAAATAACAGCTTACTCGAAACACACGGTCTCTTAAATAACATTTTTACAAATGAGTTAAGCCTTGGACTCGAAAGTTGGAATACGTTGTGTGAAGTTGTATAATTATACGTTATTAACTCTTCATCAGTTGTATAATTATACGTTATTAACTCTTCATCGATATGATTTAATTTAATTATACATCTTTAGCATTTCGGATTTTAAAAAAATAATCTTATAAGCCGAACTGAGAACATTGATAACGGGCCTCAGTTTATAAACAAGCACAGACTTCTTAATATGGAGACTTTGTCCCAAAATAAGATCACACACGCCCATGGTGAATATGATGTGCTTGTCAATTCTGATTGGTTTAATATTTTGTCTAGAGCCAAGCCTCGGTAGATAAGTGTCCTCAGTTTGGTTTATAACTTACTATTAAATGTTTTAAAACGTAACATCGGAATTTTATATTGTATAAAAATTTGTTGGTAAAGCGTAAAATCAGCGTTAGGACAACAGACATCGATATTAGGCTGTATTTATTTCCAAGTAGCACTGATGGGCCGTGAACTCGGTGAAACTAGTCTACTGCAGCGAGAGTAGCGAATCGAAGAGTAGGCTAGATCTCTACGTCATCTTTTCGTCACTGAAATTCATGTTTTGGCTAAGAAGGGGAAATTCATAAATCAAATAACAAACCAATATTGGTGTTAAATATTAACACATCTTTCACTAAACAGCCGTTACCAACAATCGATAGCGTAAATGTTAAGCACGCAAACATTAGTGTGCGTATGAATACAGATACCAGCAAACACTAATAAAGTGTGGTGTAAATAGTACATATTCAATACTTGCACAAATATTGAACTCCTAACGCATCTTTCTATTGGTAAAAACTGAAGAGTGAACAAATCTTGGTGTCGTGTAAGTAAAAGTTTGTTTTATTTTTCTATTTAACACTCGCAGAGCAGGTATCATACGTGTACATTTTAATTCGAGTTTCTGTTTTTTTTCTCGAAGCTTACATTTCTAAAGTAAGTTATTTCTACTTTAGTGAAAAACAGCCAAAACTTCGTGTTTATACTACATAAATAGTGTTAGTGTACAGTATAGCTAGAGTACATATTTAATCTAAAGATATGAAAATATTGATTATTTTAAACTGGAAAGATTAGATAGATACGGTTACTTTTTAATCACGACATTATTTCTTATGTATTTAGTACTTTCAACATGAACAATATTTTATCGATAAAAAGTTAAACAGTCAGACCCCCCGAGGTTTAGGGATAACCGCTCCTAATTTTTAGCTGCTGATTAGGGGAAGAGTAACCAGTAATAGTAGCAACCGCCGCCTACGTGGTTACTGCTAATCAAATAGTGGAATTGACTGTTTCTTTTATAACGCGCCTCTGACTCCAAGCGTTGTAAGTATTAATTCATAAAGAGCATCTATGTTAACGTCTCCCCCCCCCCCCCC